GCTCTAATAACAACAGTTTATCATAAGGCGTGTTGGCTTTTAGAATCAAGAAAACTTTTTTTATCACTGGCCACCGATTGATATTTGCTTCTTATGATCTGCAGGCATTTATGCAGCTGTGGGAAACTGTACAGGACAGTTGGGATCACGACGCTGAGGCACGTATCACAGCTGGTTGCATTGCAGGGAGACTCCAGAATCTTAGCCAGAGGTATCCTCCTTCGTCTGACGATCCCGCTAGTCTTATGCCTTTCCTCGCCCCAACATCATCAATCAATACTCCCGCTTCTTCCTCCTCATCCTCGTCACTAGAGGTCATCGAGGCAATTCCCGTTGCTTCTGAACCAAACCCTGATGCTGTGCCCCTCCTCACCTCTTCACCCGTACCTCATCTCGACTCTGGTGCCGTCGCCACTGTTAGTGCTGTTGCTTCAGCCGAGGTTTAGCAGCAGTGGCTGCACCATCTTTGCGCCTCTCTGTGCATTTACACTTGCGTTTCCTCTTGTAATCCGTTCCATCCTACTCTCTGTACAGTCCCCCACCACCTTCCTTTCCTCTAATACCTGCAGGACATGAGATCACCTCTCCACTGTCCATGATCACTAAACAACCTCACACTTGGTGGTTCATGTCAATACATGCGTTTTGCAAGAGACGGGTCAGATTTACTTTTATCATTTGTGTATGAGAGGGTTGGTATGATGCGACTTCTCTAGTTCTTACCAGGATTTGTCTTGGCTTTTTTTGCTTAATCTTTTTTAGATGCGTTTTTTTGCTGACATTGTTAAAAATAACCTTTTAATCTCAGGAACGTATGAAGTCGGAAACCGATTTTTCGGAAAATCGTTTTGTCTGTTAGCAACGGTTTATACTTTTAAAAAATACTCCGTTTCTGGCCTCTGTGTATGTCAGAAGGTTGAAATTCCCGTATAGCTATGCTGGTATTAGTTATAGTCAAATAAGAAATCTATAATTTGAGTACGGACAGTGTTGCGCGATTATGAGAGAGCTAATCTACATCATGGAAGGAGGTCCTCCTTGGCTTTTGTTTTTTGTGTATTGCTTATTCGGCTGAGTGTGAAATGAGGTTTGTTTTTATCGAAACGACCTAGTTGTGCAGTTTCTTGTGTAAGCTTCTCATTTGCATGTCGTAGCTCCTCCATAACTTCTCTTGCATCAACTACTGCTGATATTGTCCGTCTCAGTAATTATACATATGCTTCTTGAGCGTCTTTGTTTCGGGCGCATTGGCACATGCGAAGCAATTTGTTTGTAATCTGGGTCACGGGCTTTTCATGTGCTTAGAATGTGACCTCTGCTATTTCACCGACACCGACTTAAGCCACCATTTGTGGTGATGTCTCCCTGAGGCTACACAACCGTCTTAGCCCATCCCGTTATTTGCTTCTTGCCGCAAGCAAATTATGCGTAAGCATTTTGCCATTGTCCAAAACGGTACGGGCTATCTTGATCGTCTGACAGCTTATTTGTAACTTTTATTGCCCAATTTCGAGATTGTTGGTAGAATATGGAAGCTCGGCATAGAACTGACAGGTTTCCACTTCGATCTTTCGGTGTAGATAGTGTGCGAAGTTGTCTGTGAGGATCAAACTACTCTCGGTAAAGTTTTCGAGTTCACCCCTGGCCAGTTATATTACCATTCTACTTTCTTTTCTCCTCACCTTTAGTATGTGTTAGTGTATTTAAATTGTTGACTCACTATTTCAGGTGTCTTGTAGTCCCGAACTGTGCTCACTGATGTGGTAATATGCGTGTTTAGCCTTGGTTTTCATTCCAACCATTGTTGGGTTTCAGTCGCTTATTCGTAAGGTGTTTCTATGCTCCGTCTGGTTCATTGCATAGTTGGGTTTTTCGAGCAGTAAACTGAACCTAGTCGTAGGTTGTTTTATAAACACTCATATACTGAGACTTTGCAGCTATATGTTCCCGGAGCAACCTCCACAAATCGCACTGTTCAATAATGCGTTTACTTCGTTTTTTTCCTGAAGTTCGTCACTCCAGTTCAAAATTTCTACCATTTGCAACACTGAATTTGCCACTTCTATTCCAAGACGTTGTCCACTTGTTCTACTTTACTGCGAACACCTCAGCGTCTACTCGTTAAATTGATTAAGGGCTGTTGGTAGCGGTAAATTCCTTTTCAAACAAATAGGTTCATACAAATGTGATAGATAATTGGTCACATCGCAATTTTAACACTCATTTGGAGAGTCCCAAGTGCCAGTTCAGAATTCTATGTCGTGTAAGTTCAATTCATGCTTTTTTGAGCTTTTTCATCCTTGTGTCACGGCGTGTCAATTGAAAGCTTGTTACCTCGTTGTACTTGGTGTAAGACGTGTTTCTGGTACTCTAATTGTTGTCAAAATTCCCATCAGAAAGTACTCTGATAAGGTCGTTTAATCGCACAGCTTAAAATAAATTTTCTTACGAAACGCATCCGCTCTATTCTGCACGCCTCTGACACCTCTCTTTGGTGTGTGCGCCCCATTATCGTTGACTTTTTCGACTCATAGAAAGAAAACACGGCCGTAGTCGAGTTGGATACGGGAGGGATCGGGGAAAGAAGGGCAACAAAGTCGGGAGAGCGTGAAGTCGCTGTGGGCACCCTGCGTAGTGAGGCCCTGCGGCGCAAGGAAAGGCTCATTAACTTGCGCAAACAGGCGGAAATAAAGGATCTTTCCGCCACAAGTCCAGCGCTTGATGTGGAGGAACAACTACCCAAACCCATATTTCGTAACTATAAGCCGATTTCTGAAGAATTGAAAGATGGTCAACTACCTGAGGGCTCGATGATTGATCGTAAGCTTAGCTATCCTTCAACTACTACTTGTGAATAAACCAATTCCAAATATGTTTTGAGATCACAGCTAAATTTGCATCTTTAGAGTCAAGCTGCGTTGCTTATTGGAGTGCTGTGGCTTTTGAAATGCGGTAAAAGTGGCTTACCTCCTCCACTCTACCGAAACGACTTGGAGCGGTTTACTCCCTTTTTTGCTAATTGGGCAAATAGTAGGGGTGTTAACTGATTTCTGACGCCAAGGGTGTTGATGTCCTAATCAGTTCGAACTTATCCGATGAATCTAGAGTTTAATTATGACCATGAATGATTAACTACCATCCCTCAGTCGACGGTGTTAACAGTGGTTGCATTGCTGGTTTTACTTGTTCAAGTGTTTCATCGCCAGGCTTGAATGTGTGCGTGTGTCAATGCAAGATAACTTAAATAGGGCAATCAATCCTTTGTTTCTGTAACTTTTTCACCATGAAATAGTTCTTCTGCTACAAGAAAGCCCTAGACAATTTATTCCACCCGGATTTGTTGCAGCTGGTTCCGAAGGTTCTTGTTGAAACTTCGTTTATGTGCACAATTTGTTCCCCAGTGGTGCTAAACGTAATGCTGCCATGGACTTGAAATGTATCGGGCGTGCGTGTTCAGATGCGCAGTGTTTCTAACTTTGTTTACATTTCATCCTGGTCGATTAGTAGTTAAAATTTATTGCATAGTGTCTTGCTGCTACATTTGTTTACAATTAATTACATAGCAATGCCCAAGGTGATGTTTAACCCATACTGTTTTGTTGAATGCATTTCATTCTTGATGGATAGGCAACGCGATGTTCCTTTTACCTAGTTTTAATGAATAGTCGAATATTTCCGGCATCTTTCGTTGAACCTTCAGTGAAATTTGGGAAATTTTGGTGTATAGGCTGATATGCACTGTTCAAATGTCGATACAACCATTTAAATTCAATCAGCAGTGTTTGAGACATAAAAGGATCCATTCTTTCTACTTTTTGAAACTTCACCATTCATTGGATATTGTTTTGCATCATACGAATGAATCGACGCTTAATAGAAATCGCCATATGGGGAGAAGATCTCCTTGTGTGCTGCCATTGTCTATGACGCAACTACTTTTGCCTGGCAATAAATCCGAAGAACAACTCTCTGAGTCAGTTAGCTTTGCATTTTTGATGTAACCAAAGGGAGTTAAGGTTCCTACATTGGGGATTGGCCTCAAATTTTCTATTCACAATAATGAAACTACGTGAAATTTTTAATCGCTGTCATTTCTGGTAACTTTTGTAACAAGTATGCTGCCATAATTGTTAGTACGGTTAGTAGCATCCTGCTAATCAAAAAACGGATTTCCGGCCCATGAAATTATTAGTTGTGATAACGTATATAGTGTGTGAAATAATACGTCACGTGTTGTCTGAAATGAATGCCTTTGTGGTACTTGACCACTTGACTACATATCCAATCGCATCAGTTGTCGAAATTCCCTAATCTCAGAACTGTCACTTTTGTCTTTATTCGAAATTCGAGTGCTTTTATTCCCCATCGGCTGCTACTTTTTTAAACTTTAGTGGATGCGCACGTCGCAGAACAGCTAGAGGCAGCGAAAGCGCAATCAGTTGTCGATGAGGTGGTACGTTGGGTGCACGTATACATTCTCTTTTGCTGTTGTCATTATTCACTTCTTATGCGTTTCGATTTCACAAAAACAGCATTGATTAGCGTCCTTTT